GGGGAGATACAAGATACGCCTTTAGCTCTTGGAACGCTGCTTCGCATTCTGGAGTCCATGCGAAGCGCGCCCCGTTCTTGAGCGTTTGGAAGAAGGGCGCGCACTTGTCGGCAGATCGCGGTATGAACCTCCCCAGCGCCGCTATTTTGCCATTTAGGGACTGGATTTCCAGCGCGTTCCGGGGCGCCCGCAGCTGTTGGACTGCGGTGATTTGCTTTGGGTCGACCTCTATGCCGCGCTTGGTTATCATGAACCCGAGGAACTTCCCCGCTTCCGCTCCGAAAACACACTTGAGTGGGTTGAGGCGAAGGCTGTGTTGGCGGAGAGCTTCGAAAGTCTCGCGCAGGTCCTGCAGGTGTGACTTGCCCGCTTTCGTTTTGACGATGAGGTCGTCTACATATGCCTCGATGTTCCGCCCGATCTGTCGCGAGAAGACCGTGTCAATCATTCTCTGATATGTCGCGCCCGCGTTCTTTAACCCGAACGGCATCCCCACAAAGCAGAAGTTTCCAAACGGTGTCATGAACGACGTCTTTTCTTCGTCTTCCACTGACATGGGGATCTGGTGGTACCCGGAGAACATGTCGAGGAAGGATAACGTCTCGTGATCTGCGGTTGCGTCGATCAGTTGGTCGATGCGCGGCAGTGGATAAGGGTCTCCTGGGCACACTCTGTTGATCGTGGTGTAGTCGACGCACATCCGCCAGGCCCCTGATGACTTCTTGACCAATACCACATTTGCCAACCACTTTGGATATTTCACGGGTCGGATTAGCCCGGCTGCCAGTAGGCGCGTCACCTCCTCTTCTATCGCCTTTAGCTTATCGCCCGTGAAGGACCTCCGCCCCTGTTGCCTTGGCTCTGCGTTGGCTGGCACTGCAAGGCTATGTTGGGCTACCTCCCTGGGCACTCCTGGCATGTCTTCCGTGCACCACGCGAACAGTTCCTTGTACTCCTTCAGCAGTGCCACGAGCGGCTCGATTGTGTCACTGCTGACGTGAGTGGAAATGCGTATCTTCCTGGTCGGCTCAGCTGGATCTAGCGCGACCTCAAAATCGGAATCCATCGACTCCGGTCGGGGTTCTTCCGCCCTTGTGTCGACGATGTTGGTTTGTCGAGTCACGACGCGATCTTCCCACGTCGTTCCCCGGGCTTCTCCCACTCCTCTCTGTGTTGGGAACTTGAGTTTCTGGTGGCAGGTTGATGGGAGAGCCAGGAACTTCGCAAGGAATGGCCGGCCTAGAATGCCGTTGTGCGCCGATTCGCAATCGACAATCGTGAACTCTACCTGTTTTGAGGCGCGAGGCTCCTGGTCGCCGACCACCACAGGGAGGGTGACCACTCCAATGACCGGGACTTTAGTCCCGGAGAAGCCCACTAGGTTGCCATGCGCGCGCCTGATTAGGCGCCGGTCGATGTCCATTTTGTCAATGGTACTCTGGAAGAGGATGTCAGCCGCGCTACCTCCGTCTACCAGGAGGCGGTGGGTCTTGCAGGCGGAGATTAGCGCGGTGATAATGAGCGGCTCCTCTGATGGGGTTCCTTGTGGGAATTCCGCGTCGTCGAAGCTCAGGTTGAACCTTGACGGCGCGTCGGTGGTCGCGCACTCCATCGCGCGCTCCCGTTTGGTTTTCTTCTGGGGGCGGTCTCCTTCGACCGTCACCACCCCAATTTCCTTGCGCACTACATATGCGCCCGTGTCATCGTTATATTCAGCTTGGGGCGGTGGCGGCGGCGGGTGCTGTGGGTGCTCAACTTGTTCTTTTTTCACGTGAACAAACTCGGTCAGCAGCCCTCGCTGTATGAGGCCCTCTATTTCGTACCTCAGGTCCCGGCACTCTTCTGTTCGGTGCCCCGTTGCTCTGTGGAATTCACAATGCCTATGTGGATCGCGCATGTAGGGTTGGGATTTCAACGGGGCAGGCCAGTTGATCTTGTAACCCTTCTCGCGAAGGACATGGAACACATTCCTCATTGAGTCATTAAGGGGAGTGTAGGCGTTATGCGCGCGCCTGTCCGGCGATCGGCCGCGTTGCGCCTGCTCTGGTGGGGGAGGAGGGGCGCGCTTCGGGCCACTGTGCATCTGTAGCAAGTGGTCTCGTGGGATCACGGCTGGAGGCTGACGACGCGCCTGTTCTTCTCGTGGCATTTTCGCCGGCTCAAAGCGCCTGACGGACCCTGCCCCCAAGGTTTCTTCCAACGTGATCGCCTTTTCGATCTTCATCTCCAACTCTGTCGATAGCGTGACGGGTCTCTTGGCCAACGCCCGCTTAAGCTCCATATTGTTGGTGGCCTCCATGAGGTGATGGGCGGCTGTTTCGGGGGTGAGGTCGCGGACGGCCATTGCTATCCTGGACCATCGGGCATAGAAAGTTCTCAGGTTTTCTCCATCCTTTTGCCTGATATCTATCAGGGCCTTGAGGTGAAGCGGGCGCCGTTTCTGGGACGCAAACTTCGTTGTGAACAGGAGTATGAACTCCTCGAATGAGTGGATGATTCCATTTGGGAGGCGGTTGTACCAGTCGAGGCATATGCCGGTGAATGTCGACGGGAAGGTTCTGCATAGCGCGGCGTTGGAATTGGTCTGGAGTTGCATGCGCAGGCAAAAGGTGCTTACATGGTCTTCCGGGTCGGTCGTGCCGTTGTATGTCGGGAGGGCGGGCGTCGCTCCTGTTAGGTTCTCCGCCATTATCTGCGCGCTCAGCGGCTGGTGAAGGACTCTTTTTGCCGGGTTGGGTCGGTACTGCGGAGACAGATGTTGCTCTAAGAAGCTGAGGTCCGCCCGCTCTGGTGGCTCGATCCCCGGCGCTTCGCACGCGGGGAGTTCCGTCGCCCCGTGTTGGGGTGGCTGGGCTGTCCCCGACGTTTCTCCCAAAGCCTGTTGTGGCGCTACCGCCAAGGTTTGTCGAGGCGCGTCCGCCACCGCACCAGTCGCTGCCGCGCTATCCCTGCTCATCATGAGCGCGATAACTTGGCTCATTTGTTTCTGCATGTCGGCTATGACGTCGTTTTGCTTTCTCACTAGATCCCTCATTTCTTTTGCCGTCAGTTCGGGCTCTTCTTCTTCAATGAGCACGGCGCTGAGGTTGCTGGCTTCCGCGAACATCCTCGGGTCGGTCATTGCCTTGACTGGTGTTGCTTGGTCAGGCTGGTCGTGGTTGCGCTCTGCCATCGGGGGATTTTCTTTAGCGTTTCTCCTTGGCCCCACGGTGGGCGCCAATTGTTTGAACCTAACTGAGTGTAGGAGTGAGGTTCGAATGAGAGTTTGGGTCAAGAAGAAACGCGAGCGTCAAGTTCGATCGGGGAGAGAGGAATTAGAGAGTTGAGCGAGGACCGGAGTCCAAACTTTTAGAAAGAGAAGTAATTGTTATAGAGAGAGAATGGTGAAAAATGCGATCCCCTCACCCACCGTAGTAAATGCCGTATTTATAGGCCTCGTTGTGGTGGGTGAGTGGTTGACCCAAGTGGGGATACAAGATGTGACAATTGGGATACAATGATGTGACCACTGGCACATACTAAGGATTTTAGACCCTGTCTCGGCCATCCCCCTACCTAGGACGTGTCAGAGATTTGCCACTGGCCTTGATGTGACCACTTCCTGGGGAGGAAAGCTACGCCTCCCTCCTCTCTTGGCTTTTCCTGCGCTACGCTCTTTCTCAGCGCCTGTAACTCACATCGCGCACAAACTCTTCGCGCCAGGACGTAGTTGACTACGATGAGGTGTCGCGCTCGGGGTCTTCGCGCTGCTATGTCGGAGTCCATCCAGTTGCGTCCGTTCCTTGACGCGGCCAGGCCCGAGTCACATGCCCAACAGTTATATTTCATATTTGAGTGAAAATGGTGTTTGATGCTTCATACTATGTTTTGGGTTATCGGTTGTGTTCTTCGACCGAATTCGAGGTTAAAATCGTTGGATTTATTAATAAATAAGGGCGGGAATGCTGTATAAGGGTTTAATTTTTTGAGAAAACCCGTCAAAATTGTAGTCAATTGTCACAAATTTAACCATATGCGGATAAAACAAGGCTTTATAGTAAATCTATACGAATTGTGAAATTTTGTAACCTCTGTAACATAAATAAAAGCCCAAAGCAAGAGCCTCAAGAAACCCATTCAGTTCTATCGACCAGTTAATTAATGTAACCACTGCAGTTCTGCTGCAGTATTAATAAAAGCCCAAATCAGGCGGCCCAAGAAGCCCATTCAGTTCTATCGACCAGTTACTGGTAACATCAATTTCAGTCCACGAAATTAGGAACACGCAGCTTCGTCGTCTCCCCCAATTTTCTAATCCCAGTTTCCCGGTCATATCGACGGCTGCCGAGCGAAGGTCCCTTTTCAATCATGAATACCTGCTGCTACCGGCAGCCGCAATTCACAGTCCCACCCACTTCTCCGCTCCCAGTTTCAGTGGTGGGTTCCCGATTTCTCGTCCCAATCCCCCACCAAGAACCCTGGAGAACGGGAACTGATTCCAGGTATTGCAGGGTGATTAAAACGACTGGTGGCAGAGGAGAAAGGTTTGTTTGTAGCGTATGGTTCCTGCCTGTGGATCCATGGGCGCCAAACATTGATTCACAGAGCATTGCCCCTCAGCTCTTCGCACTCTCTTTGTTCCCGTACATTGCTTTCTTGTACTTCCTCACCAAGTCCAAGACTGCTCCAGGGCTCACCCTCTTCGGATTCTACTTCTTGCTCGCCTTTGTGGGCGCTACAAGTTAGTTATATGAAAAAGAACTCCTTTTTTTCTTCCCCTACTTCAATTTCCTCTAGTTCACTGTTTCTTAGCGGTGAAATACAGTTCTTTCGACTATGTTGAGGATGAAATGATTGGATGAAGGAACAAGATTTGATTTTTTTTTGTTTGGGTAGGGAGCTTAATGTTGAACCCAACACTGATGGATTTTTTCTCTTTTGTTCCTTCATGGTTTCCAACGATGGATGATTGTTGCAGTTCCAGCGGGAATCTATGGTAATCTTTTGCTGACTTCTCTCATTCAATTCAATTCAATTGCTTGTTTATGATTCCTAGTTGCGAACTGATCCTGATAAACGATGCTGGCTTCATTTGAGTCAGCAAAAGTGCAGTACGGAACTTCCTTGTCTAATGTGGATTGGCTGCATGGTGGGGCTGAATCACTTCTCACCTTAACAAACATATTCATCGTCCTGGGCTTGAGGCAAGCACTTAGGAAAAGGGACGAATCAGAGAAGAAGGACCTCTGACTAGCTGCTTGATCCATGGAAGCTTAGTCTCTGCTCTTCTTGTGCATGCTTTACGACAGTTGTAGCAATGGCGTCATCACCAAATCAGCTTTTTGCTTGGTCAGGAGGTACCCTGATGTCCGCGTATATAATCGAAATCATGAGTGGCTGTTCATGTGCTAATCTAATGTACTGCTCAAGCATTAATGAAATTTGCTGTCATTGAGTATGTTGTAGTTCTCTCTTCATGGAACCTCTAGAAATCGATTCTTCTTACTGCGTATGTTCACAGAGTGGAGGTGAAAGGCTATTCTTGTCTTGGTTATAATCCCATCTGTTGGTGGAGCTTGTAACATCTAAGCTACGAAAGGGTTCTTCAGTCATGTGTTATTACACAGAACTTGCCATTCAATACTAGCCAGTTACTGCTGTTATTGCTACATCAAAACTCAGCTGCAAGAGCTATAGCTAGTCTGCTTTACACACACGTCTTTCTTTTCCTGTCTTTATGATACAATCTAAAGATCAACCTGCAACTAAATTTGTGTCCGTTCTTATCGTCCCTGACTGACCATAGTGAGAGAGAGAGAATCAAGAGAAATATCCGGGGGCGTACGAGAAGCTCGGAACCAGTTCGAATGGCTCAAGTTGGAAATCCAAGTCCAGCATTGGAGAACTGGTAGCTGAAGTTTGAGCTGAGAGTATCTCAGCCAAATCTGAATCCGAATGCTGCAAAGTCTGTGCCCATCCAGAGCTGTTCACAAATGGAGAAACATGGTAGTAGTTTGGTTCTGGCGTGGCTGGTGAGAGAAACGACTGGGAGAAGTTGCTATTTTGGCATTCATATGTGGAAGGAAAAGCGAAAGGCACTGCCTCTCTCTTGTCCAAATCCCGAGTATCAACTTTCAGACCCTTCTGCAAGTTAAGCAAAGCTTCTCCAGGCGGTGGCTGCTGTTGATTGCTGCTGCTGAAGTTGTGCTTGATCTGTTCTTTTTTCTCTGGCGATGCTGCTGGTGGTGTTGCAACTGTTTGCTGTTGGCCAAAGGAACAGCTGTGTTGTCCCCTATATGTGACCTCAAAGATGGTAGGATCTTCATCTGATCTCTGAACTTGCTTGATAGCCCAGCAGTTTTGTGTGTTCCTGTATGTGCACCTATAATAGCTTCTGCAAAGACCAAGCAAAACACTAGTAAGTTTCCACTTCTTTTGGTTTCAGTCTTTGGTATTGTTAAAATATGATGCCTCTTTTTTACCCTTTTTATGAAAAAGAGTTTAGATGGGTGTTGAACATTTCAACATTTGACTTTTCAGCGATGGAGAGGGTTGACGTGGTTAGACCCAAAAGACTACTTGACAGGTTTTACTTGCATTAATGATTACTTAAATTCTTTAACAGAATGATAACATACACTTACGAAATTGACTATCCATCCATTTGGGTCATATGAATTGGTAACATGAGTAAGATTGGGATTTGATTGAGTTTCATATCAGCGTGTTGGACAGTTCGTCTGTTGTTTTAATTTGTGTAGCATGACATACTGATGTATCTAATTTAACAAAATGAAAAAACAACCATTTTGTTAGTTACTAACTAACCCTTTCTTTCTCCTACTGATGTTTGTTTGTTGTACTGGGCCTTTGCTTGTGTGGATGGGATATGACACAATCCCACCAGCTATTTGGTTTACTTTTTGAGAACTTGTGGATATAGAGTCCGTACACAGTAGAAGTGTACCTGGGATATTTGGCTCCTAGAATGTCTTTCTGGCCATACTTCCTCCAGCTATAGCCATCATCAATTGGACCTTCCAATCCATTCTCAGAGCTGACTTTAACTTGATCTGTCCACCTGGGCATTGTCTTTCTGCAGGGAAACACCAAAAGTTATTAGCCATCAATCAACTAACATTTAGCTTCTGCAGAATTTCATAGCCCAGAAGAAGCAAAGAACTCACCTCTTCTTGGAGGCATTAATGGGAGCTTGATGATCCTTGGTTCCATCAAAATCCTCACTCCTAGGACTTCCATTCGTAGACAATGGAGATCCAGGAACCCCAGAACCAGAACCAGTAGCTGCAGCAGCTACTGGTGCAGTAACAGCAGCAGCTTGCAGAGGTTGATGTCCAACTGATCCACTCCAATTGAGAATCAGCAGAGCCTTCTCATAAGAAGACAAGATCCTCTGCACCAAAATCTCAGCATTCTCAACCGAAGATGACCCCTCGAGATGAAAGCTCAGCTGTTTTGCAAATTCCATCCCTTGGATCAGCTCATTCACCAGTGTTCTCTGTTCCCAGCTCCACCCTCCTCCTTCCATCAGTCTGCTCTTTCTTTTCTTTGGCTACCCCAACTTTTTTATGAACCAGCCAATCTCCAACAGAAACAAACCGACAAGCAGCGTCAGCAGCCTTCAAGCATAATCTAGAATCGAGCCACTTGGTTCGTCAGAAGCCAAAGCTTCAAACTTCTGCAGAATGCTGCTGTGATCAGAGAATTGGGATGACCAGAGTTGGGAATATGAATCAGGAAGAACACCCAATACCATGGAAGTACCTTGAGTGAGAAGTAAGAACCCGAAAACGGTAATGGGTAGCAGAAAGTTTGAATCTTTTTTGCTTCTGCTTGGTGGGTTTGGAAGAAGAGAAGGTAGGATGGAGAGTGAAGAAGGGATCCATGAGCTATATATATACATGCACACATGGTGGACACTGTTGGAAGTTTGAATATTTGACTGTGGAGAGAAACCGAGTTATTTTATTCAATTCTTGGACTAGTCTTTGGTCACCCAGAAGAGGATATTGAAGAAGAGCTTGTTTGAGTGTGTGTGTGGTAGTGGTGGAGTAGAGAGATTTGGGATTGGGAAGGGTCCAAAGTGAAAAGTGCTGACCAATTCAAACCCCCTGCAACACTTCAGGTTTGGAAAAAATCGGCTCTTCTTTCCTTTTGATTCCTTTGGTTTTTTTCTGGTTGGTTTCCTTTTAGGAGAGTGAATGATTGAAGCTTGGACTCTAAAGGGGAGAGAGCATTTAATTTTGTTTTTGGGGAAGTCAATGTTTCTAAGAAGTAATAGATTAGTAAAGGGGAGAAGGAAAAAAAAGTGGGTTGCTGAGAAAATTCAAACCAGATTACGCGTAGGCATAGTTTTATTTAGTTCATGTGGGTGTGATTGGGATTAGAATCACATGGCTTTTGGGGTTTAAGAATTGATTATCTGCTCTAATCTTTTGTTTGTTCCTAACAAACTTCAATTCGTTTAGTTAATGAACTCAGTAGCACTCAATGAGGAACTGATTTGTTAAATCAAGTAGGATGGACTAATAACAATAATAGCTAATAATATTAGGGTTGTTTGGACGTGAAAATTTTATGTGGAATTGTAATTACGATACGTAGCTTTGTATTCTTATATGCCCACAATTTTTTTTCCTCACCCAATTCTAGAGGAATTTTACAATGTTATATAGTATTGGTGCTATAGGTTTTTGTCTTTATGGTACAACTTGAAATTGTACCTTTACGTTATGGTACAACTTCAGATTGTACCTATACTTTTTGTACAAATTCTTTTATGGTACAACTTGAACTTGTACCTTTATGTGATGGTACAACTTAAAGTTGTAAAGTTGTATCATAACATAATGATACAAATTCCTTTATTGTACAACCTAAACTTATACATTTAATACTAGCATTTTGCCCGGCCAGTTGGCCGGATGAGGTTTGTTATCATGCTAATAGGCGTAATTTAAGCAAAATTGTCATATCGATTTAAATGTATGAGGTAATCGAGTAAGTGATTTAACATTCAAGAGTCAGAAGATGACTCCCAACCTTTTATCTTTCTTATACGTATTCTAAAATATACTCATGCCCGGTACAAATTTAAACATTTTAATGATTGAAATATAATTTTATGTATAAGCATCATTTTGTAAGTTCTCGTTCTGTATATAATATACTTATTTATGGCAGGTACAAATTTAAACCTTTTAATGATTGAAATATAATTTATATGTATAAGCATCATTTTGTAAGTTCTCATTCCTCTCCCTATCTCTTTCTTCCTCTTCCCCATGTCATTAACCAAGTAGTCTCAATAACTCCATTTTATTGAAAGAGGATTAATTAACCATCTTATATTATTTACTAACATATTATTCTTCTCTCGTCTCTCACTCTCACTCCCGCCCCTCCCTATCTCTTTCTTAGCTACCAAAGGGAAGTCCTTTGGTTTTTTTATTTTCTGATTCAGTTTCACCAAAATGTTCCCCATAATGTGTTTGGGCTAGTACTTGGTCAATCAAGTCAAACCCATCATTTTTGCAATTTTGAACATGTACCATCTTTTTGGGAATCCAACTTTATGGCAACCTTGTAGGAGGTAGCTTCGAACGGACATGATCCAACTGATTGATTTGCTATGGTCTTGACAACCATGAATGTAAGTGTCGATATTCAACACATAGCTGAATTACTATAGTGTCATTTTAGATTTATATGGACACTTAATCATTAGCCAATCTGTTGAACTCGAATTTTAGTCAAGAATTCATCTATTATTGAAATTAAAATTTTTACTACGAGTGGTGCCATTTTTCCTATATATTGTCCGCAAACCACTTTATTAAATCGTAACCATCCCCTTAACCAAAATTCTGTGGGATGTAATATAACATACAACATACCAAACCAACTTATATGTGGTTATGGGAAACCGACGCTTACTATACCCGAATAATTTTATATAAACTTCTGAATATATCTAAAAAAATTAGAATGTCAATATTAATTGAACTTTTTGTCGTGTTGTTTGTAAAACTGAGAGAAAAGTAGTAAGGTTTGAGGGATATAGACAAACAAAGTGTTTAAGTGAGTGAGTATAGAGCTTACTGTAAAAGAAAAAGAGTGAATATAGATCATAGTTATGGCGCATATTTTAGTGCATTTGGTACGGATACTTAAAATACCAAAATCGTACCAAACTCATTACCCTCCTTACTGAGAGCCGGAAAAAATCACCAAAACATAATAACGATCGAATTTTTGTATCTTGTCATCCTACTCCATATGGCAACCTTGTAGGAGGTAGCTTCGAACGGACATGATCCAACTGATTGATTTGATATGGTCTTGACAACCATGAATGTAAGTGTCGATATTCAACACATAGCTGAATTACTATAGTGTCATTTTAGATTTATTTGGACACTTAATCATCAGCCAACCTGTTGAACTCGGATTTTAGTCAAGAATTCATCTATTATTGAATTTCATATTTTTACTAATATATCCATGGAATAATTCTTTGTTCACCCCAAAAAAATGGAATAATTCTTTGAAGGTAAGAGATTATGCTTATTTTTTATTTTTTCTCTTCATTTTAGGGATGACAACGGGTTCGAGTGGTGTCGTTTTACCTATATATTGTCCCCAAATCACGTTATTAAATCGTAACCATCCCCTTAACCAAAATTCTGTGGGGATCTAATATAACATACAACATACCAAACCAACTTATATGTGGTTAGGGGAAACCAACGCTTACTATACCCGAATAATTTTATATAAACTTCTAAATATATCTAAAAAAATTAGAATGTCAATATTAATTGAACTTTTTGTCGTGTTGTTTGTAAAACTGAGAGAAAAGTAGTAAGATTTGAGATTTTAATAAAGACCAATGTTTGAGGGATATAGACGAACAAAATGTTTAAGTGAGTGAGTATAGAGCTTACTGTAAAAGAAAAAGAGTGAATATAGAACATAGTTATGACGCATATTCTAGTGAATTTGGTACGAATACTTAAAATACCAAAATCGTACCAAACTCATTACCCTCCTTACTGAGAGCGGGGAAAAATCACCAAAACATAATAACCATCGATTTTTTTATATCTTGCCAGCCATCCTACTCCATTTTGGTTGTAATAGCTAAAAAGTGCAGCCTTTTCTTAAAGTTATGAAGGGATTAATACCCAGGTTTCTAAAAAACTACTATTAATATTTTATTTCTGCCAATGAAATGCTTAGTCCTATTATTAACATTTAATTTATGTCCTCACATCCTTGGGAAGTAATTATGTGGGCTTGCTTTCCAATGGCTTGAGCTTGAAGGCTTTAGCGGGCCTAACTAATCGGCCGGCAAAGTGAGGCGCTGTCGCTGATTAAAATTATGTATTTTGTCCAAAACACCCTTCCGTAAAATAGGGACCGAGTTTTGATGACTGACGTGGCAAAACTCTCATATGCACTCCTGTATATATATATGTTTTGATGATTATAGTACAACTTCAAGTTGTACATTAAAACACCAATACTATATAACATAGTAGAAGTGATCACAATTCTAATCCTCTTCTTCCTTTCCATCACTTTTCTCTTCCATCTCACAAAAGGATAAATTTTTATTTTAATAAAATTTCACGCCATTAATTTCCATACTTTTAAACTCATTTCAAACATGAAATTTTAGTCAATTTTCACTTGACATTTCTGAGGTTTTCTATAATGTAGAAATCAAGGTCGATTCCCATGTTTTCTAAATTTCCACAGTCGAACAACCTCTTAGTCACTTGGGTTTTCAACCAAAGTGCTTATTTTGAAATAAATTTTGATTAGAACCTTGTTGGATAAAATTAAATTTTCACGAATTTACGTAGTGTATGTACGATATACCTTCAAGATATTATAACATAGTGATTTAGAGTCTTCGGTATGGTATATTACGTTTGATAAATCATATTACATGAATTGAAATATTCATTATGTAGTGCTCATTAAGATATGTTTATCTTAAAATAGTTAGAAAGCTAATTTTAGGCAAGTGTTGAGTAACATATTTTCAATGGCATTCATCAATGAATAAAGGTGTGATTTGGAATTAAGAGCATCTTCATCTAGAAGAGTACCCATCAGCCACTTAAATAAGTGCAAGAGGTCAGTGGTCTTCTTGTGGAATAATTGAGAACCACCTTGTTTTGGTGCTACCTGGCGCCGGATGACAGCCACCACGCCTCCTTTGAAGCCTACAACAACGACCACCGAATCTATGAGTACAAAACGCACACGTATTGGATCGGCAAAGACGACGGCGTTTACGCGAAGCTCGTGGACAAAAATGTAGACATGCTGGTCTACCATTGGTTGGACTAGAGGCCCGAGCCCGACCCAAATCGGTTGATCATCTAGGAAGACATGATGTACATTTTGACGACTATCGTACATTATTGTTACTGGAAGGAAAACAATGAGTTCGGTTTCATCTAAATCTAATGCTAAAAAATAATAATTTTTGGTTCGATTTATTTGGTAAATCTTGTGGTTGGGTAGTATTTCTGGTTCGATTATGGTTCCACCATTAGGCCTTATTAATTTGGTCAAATTGATAGGTATTTTATGTTTTTAAGAGACGAAATTTTAGAAGAAAGACAATAAAGTTTTTCGTTAGTGTTGGGCCACGTAGTTGAGCGGTCATGGGCCTCGGGTCCAGGAGAAAAGCACCAGCTAGTTGGGCCCAATGGAGTATCCGGCCAGGGAGATCAGGGTGACAGGCGGTCTCAGACCGACTCCAAGCCCAAGGAGTGTCCAGAACCGCCTGACATAAAGCGACTGACCATGACAGAAAGCAAAGATCCGTTGAGATACGTACCTCGAGTTGGGTAAGACTGAGCATTTATTACCCGCCGCGGGCGGTCCACCTAGGGAGAAGATCTGTCAGGGACGCCTGACAGATCATTAAATGACTCAACCACCACCACACCAGGTATAAATGCACCGTGAGAGCATTGATGGTAAACTCAACTACTCTCTCCCTCTCTCTCTCTCTAGAACAAACACATAATTACACACTTCTCTATCTAACTTAAGCATTGGAGGGTGTCCCGGGCAACCGCCCACGGACCCTTGTTTTGCAGAGATCTGGAGTGCGCCCTCCTTCCAAGAACAGACGCTTCACCGCTGTCCTACAAACCGCCTAGTACTTACTAAGCACAAACAGTTAGGGATTAAACAAACGAGTACTATTACACACTATTATATGATATAATTTTACTAGCTACTGCTTAAGCAAACTAGTGTAGGTTGAGAGTTGAGACTGGAGCCCAGTACTGTGTCCACAAAACCACTCTGGAATTGGATCAAGGCCGGTTTGAGTTGAGCCTGGAAGACCATAAGGGCTAGGGCTGGAAAAATAGACCAGACCGTTAGAAAAAACCATGGTTCAAACCGTACCACACAGTTTGGTCCGGACCGTAGACCGTTAAGTATGGTCTGGTCTATGGTCTGTATTATTTTATGTTTTGATCTCTTGGTATGCTCTGTTCTAGACCGCGGTTTATCGGACCAAACCGTGGACCCAACCGACTTGTCAATACGTGTTAACAGCCCATTCGACCACTCTTCCAACTCCCACAACGACACCCAAGTCTCAACCTTAGTTTGTGAATCTCGTCCCTCCTTCATTCACAACCACATTTAACCAGAGAGTAGAGATAATTGTGTCTCCATATGATATTATGTTAATGTTTACGACGTTATAGTGCAAGTTGGGATGCTTTTACTTTGTAATGTATCTTTGTTATGTACTAAGATTTAGGGCATCAAAATTATTCATGCATGTTAGGATTAATGTGTTAAGGAAAATAACAATTATTTTTCTTGGTTATTTGTTCAACTTTTTGTGTGGTTGACTAAACAAATTATTCATTTTTCGTTGAGTGTGGTCTATCTGGACCAGACCAGACCGCACATGCGTGGTCTGGACCGGATCGTATAGTTTGTGGTTTGTTCTATGGTCTATACTTCAGCCTCTCGGTCTGGATCATAGACCGTATATATGGTCTGGTCTGGACCAGACCGCACCGTTTTCCAGCCCTAATAAGGGCCTTCTGCTTACGAATAGGGATGACAATGGAGGGGATTTAGGTGAGATCTCCTAAACTATCTCATCATCATCTCTAAATAGCTAAATTTATACCCGCAACATACCCATGCGAAAAGAGATTTTGCAACTTCATCTCTATATCCACATTTTTCGAATATCTAATGTTCTCGTCTTATATCCAATATTATACCTAGAACTAATACAGTAAAACTTACTTAATATGTAAATTTTTCGGTTATAACATCAAATTAATAAATTGTAAAATCAACAAAGGTAGAACCATTTGTAATTCAAAATCTAAGCATATAATCCTACAAAGTAATAATAAAATCACTACTTTAGCATCCAATCACTCTAACTTTTGTATATATATATAAAAAAAAATTATGTGGGTCGGGAGAGCATAAAATCATACTAGCTCAATCTCCATCAATTTTTTTGCGTATTCTATCCATATCCGCCTCATATCCGATCAATACATTGATTCTCCGCGTTGATTGGGTCGGGATGATCGGATACCCACGATCATGGATTTAGTTACCCTCTATAATTATGAAGGATCCCTCTCGTTCCCCGATACATAGTTTATATTGTAAAGCTTGAACCTTCTAGCGACATGATCACTAGTCTAATGTATATGATCTAATACATTTTGTGGTAGTAATAGTACTGCAAACTGCCATGGTACTTACAACACCATTTCAAAGGATCGATGTTCTTACACCGTTCATTGTCATTGAACTGTATGGATATATTGTGATCGTTAGATGAATACAGTGACAATTCTATAAATAAGATATCCATCTACAATCGGGGAACACCAATTGTAAAATACAACGGTTGCCAAATGTTGTATGGATGTTCCTATAAGATGTAAGCACTCTAGCCGAATTCCTATAAAAAATATCTCTTTTTTGTGGATGGGGAACGTGACACACTAGAATGTAACTGTTCTTGTTATAAATGCATGTATATTTTTTATGACAAGTTTTGTAGCGACGCGAAACAAACTTTGATAGAGAACATGCATGGTCCCTACCATTAAATACCAAAGGATTTCTTCTTAATTATTTGAAGCTGTCAACTGCATGCAATTAATGCATGGACTACTTTTTTTTTTACTTTTGCACTTCCTTCCTTCCATGTGTTAGCCCAAACCCAAAAACAGAGCAAAACAAAAAAAAAAATGCAATGCATGCATACTTTATGACAAGTGTAACTTTTAGTGACCACAAGCGAAACTTTACCCTAAAATATCCAACCGTTACAAAATGTCAATTCCTTCAAAAATAGTTTTGGTGGGCTTTTGTCGTGTATAATTAATATTCCATGAATAGATATATGCATGTGAGTTAATTACATTATTGATAATTTAAATATGAGTATTAAATATATGAGAAGCTAAATATATACGTGGAAATTAGAAACCAATTTTACATATATGGCAGCATATTAAAAATAGATGTGGAAATTTGAAATCAATTACATATATGGCAGGATATTAGATAGGTTTATGTCTTATTGAAGAAAGTATCTTTTTTAAGTAATTTTATTTGGAGTTGATGACGGAAACTTATTAAGGTTGTGACAGTGAACTAACTAATGTACGGAATTCCGGACTTTGTTTATAACACGTGTGAGCTTTTTTCCTGTTATAGATTCATTTGAAGTCGGCGCGAAAATAATTTCTAGGTGGTAACATAAAATAAATTGATTTGCAGAGCTCGGATAGGTTCTTGATGCCACGCGTAAGAGCATCTTCTTACGGCGCCAAACTAATGATTAAAGGTTGTGACATGGTCTGGCCACACTGACATCAAATGTTAGTTGACATCACGTGAGAGTTCGTTTAATTTTCATTACAACTTTGTTTTAAATTAGGCGTGAAAGTTAAATTATGTTTGGGGTAAATAAAAAATTCAAGATTGTTGTGCATAGAAAATGCAATCCAATAATACACAAATAATGTTGCAAAAAATCTAAAACATATAAAAGTACAAAGACAAATAAGAACGTTAATATAGCTACAAAAACTTATATTTTCTCTTCTCTTAACCAAGTTTCAAGAAAGCACTATATCGTAAGGAGGGTGTTGGATCTTGCCTAGTGTCTCCACTTCGACATCACCTAAGAATGTCTAACATTTAGAACGAAAACAACAATTTGAATTTTGAATGGAAAAGACACTTGTATGAGTTAAAAGTTTGGATGACAAATGTTTTCGTTCTTAGGTGAATATCATATAACTAAGCCTATTTGCTTAGTCAAATGGCTAAAGTAATATCAACATAAGTTTGGTTAAAGTCAAATGTCATTCGATCTGACGGTCCACAATATCCATTGCCAATTAATTACACAAAATGATAGTTTTGAAATTTTTGAAAAGTTTATTAAATGTAATTAATTATTTTCCAATTTTCCAACATTCTCTCTCACCTAACCTCTTTCTCTAAACCTATGATTTTTCATCACTTCTTTCGTGTTCTATCCATATCCGCTCCATACCCAATCAATACAAAGATTCTCCATGTTAACTGGGTTTGGACCATCGGATACCCACGATCATGGATTTAGTTGCCATCCCTAATGATGAAGGCTCGCTCTCGTTCCTCGGTACATAGTTTATGTTGTAAAACTTGAACCTTCTAGTGACATGATGATCACTAGTCTAATGTATATGATGTAAGTAGCAATAGTGCAAACTGCTATGGTGCTTACAACACCATCTAAAAGGATCGATGTTCTTAATTACACCGTTCATTGTCATTGAAATGTGATGGATGTTTTGTGATCATTAGATAAAAACAGTGAATTTTATAACTAACTAAGATATCCATCAACGATCGAGGAACACCCATCGTAAATCCAACGGCTTCCAAATGCACGTTCCTACATGTATGATGTAAGCACCCTAGCCAAATTCCTGTAAACAAATCAAATTTTTTTTTTTTTTTGGATGAGGAACGTGGCATACTAGAATGTAACTGTTATTGTTCTATATGCATGTATACTTTTTATGACGAGTTTTGTAGCAACGCGAAACAAACTCTGATAAAGAACATGCATGGTCTCCACCATTAAATGCCAAAGGATTTCTTCTTAATTATTCTAAGCTGTCAACTGCATGCAATGCATGGACTACTTTTTTTTTTTTTTTTTTTGCAGTTTCTTACTTCCATTTGTCAGCCAAACCCAAAAAACATAGCAAAACAACAAGAAACGGTAAGTGTAACTTTTAGTGACCGCAAGCGGTAATTTACCCTACATTTTACAACCGTTACAAAATGTTGATCCCTTCAAAATAGTTTTTGGTGGGCTTTTCTCGTGTATAATTAATATTATATGAATAGATATATGCATATGAGTTACAATTATTGATAATTTAAATATGAATGTTAAATATATGACAAGCAAATAAATATATACGTGGAAATTAGAAACCAATTTTACATATAAGGCAACATATTTAATATAGGATATATCTTAATATTATTTTTTTGACAAAAAAGCATATTAAATATAAACGTGGAAATTTGAAACCAATTACATATATATGGCAGGATATTAATTAGGTTTATGTCTTATAGATTATAAGACATGAAAGTTATCTCTTCTTTAAGTTAAATATTTCATTTGAAGTTGACACCACAAACTTATTAGGGTTGTGACAGTGAACTAACTGATGCACGGAATTCAGGACTTTATTTGTAACACGTGTGGGCTTTTTTCCTGTTATAGATTCATTTTGAAGTCGGCGCGTAAAGAATTTTTTACTTGGTAACTTAAAATAGATCGATTTGTAGAGCTCGGATTGATTTTTGATGCCACGCGTAAGAGCATCTTCTTGCGGCGCCGAACTAATGATTAAAGGTTGTGGCGTGGTCTGGCCACACTGAAATCAAAAGTTAGTTGGCATCATGTGAGAGTTTATTTAATTTCCGTTATAACTTGTTTTAAATTTGGCGCGAAAGTTAATTTATGTTTGGGGTGAATAAAATTTTCAAGATAGTTGTGCATAGAAAATGCAATCCAATAATACACAAACAATGTCGTAGAATACCTAAAACATATAAAAGTAGACACATAAGAACGTTGATATAGCTACAAAAACTAATATTTTTTCTTCTCTTAAGTCTTAACCAAGTTTCAAGAAAGCACTATGTCGTAAGGCGGGTGTTGGGTCTTGCCTAGTGTCTCCACTTCGACATCACCTAAGAATGCCTAACCTTTAGAAGGAAAACAACAATTTGAATTTTGAATGTTAAAGACACTTGTATGAGTTAAAAGTTTGGATGCCAATATCTAACTCGTGAAAATGAATATCGTATAATGATATAACTAAGCCTATTTGCCTAGTCAAATGGTTAAAGTATTATCAGCATAAGATTGGTTAAAGTCAAATATCATTCAATCTGATGGTCCACTATATCCATTACCAATTAATTACACAAAATGATAGTTTTGAAAATTTTGAAATTTCATTAAATGTAATTAATTATTTTTCAATTTTCCATTATTCTCTCTCACCTAACCTCTTTCTCTAAACCTATGATTTTCATCACTCCTTTCTTGTCTTTCTCTCTCCTAATACAGTTCTCTCTCTCTCTCTCTCTCTCTCTCTCTCCTCAGAGTTTCTAGTGATGGTGGCCATATCTATCACCACCCTTGTCTGATATCTTTTCTCTTGCTCCAATTCTCTCTCTCTCTTCTTCTCTGATATTCTGGTGGCGGTGATCACATTAGTCATCAATGTTTCTATAAAGTTTATCTCTTCGCCGTTTCTAACTCTCTCTCTCTCTCTCTCTCTCTCTCTGCTTTCTTCCCTTCTCATAGCTATATGTTTCTGAATCCATCCTCTCTTAGCCATCCATTGTTGAGGTAAGCACCTCTTTCTTCTTCCTAGTGAGATTTTCAACTATCAAATCTGCCATCTGTCTTTTTGTTGGTCACTCAATATATCATCCCTAACTCGCGACTTTCTTTCTGTCGGTTCTAGATATTTCAAAAAATGGATGAGTCACCACTTTATATAAGACAAAACGTTTCTAAGTCCACACCTGTCCACATCCCATCAATCTCACTTAATTGCGTTCACCTTCTCCATGTTTCTGCTCTCCTACTTAGAGAAAATGATGAAAAACTTTCTCCCTTCCGTTTCATGATTTCCATCGTCGCCTTTGCATTTCTCTTTTCTCTCAGTCTCTCCAACAAGAAACTTCTATTCTTTTTTTGTGTGGGTTCGTCGATTGTAGTTTGAAAGTTGACTACTACCAAATTCACCACTACGACAAGAGAACAACACACTGATCGCTGCTTGAAAGGGTCGCTCTTATTCTCTTGTCGTCTTCATAGCTGTACGTTTTTTGAGCCTTGTCTCTCATAGTCATCCTTTGTATAAGTAAGCAACTTTTTCTTCTTCCAAGTAAGATTTCCAACTATCAAATATGAAATATGCCTTTTTGTTGGCATAGTCACGATTTTGCCTATTTTTCCTTGTTGACGAAGTTCTTAATCATTGACAGAAGTTCATACGTTGTTATCTTTTGGTTTATTCATGATAGTTTCAATTTTGGAATTCATACTAAGTTTTTGTCAGTTTGTTTGTTTGGGTGTAGGTTTCTGCTAGGAATTGAAGTTGATCCTTCGGATCTACCATGCTTGAAGAAATCAAGATGCCTTCAGAAAGGAGACGAATATTTTCTGATGGAGCCAAGTTTGACAGACTTAGTGGGCTTCCCGATGAAGTTCTGCACCATGTACTCTCCTTCCTTGATACCAAGTGTGTTGTTCGAAGTAGCATTTTGTCAAACAGGTGGAGATCACTCTGGAAAACGGTTCCCGTGCTCAATTCGATGGCGAATCCTTCAACGAGCACAACTTCAAGGACCATGTGGACGAACTTCTAAAAGTCTATTTTGTCAACTCACACAGGCTTTGTCGTGTATCGATTCTCAATTGTCCTGGATTTGGAGAGAGGTCTGATATCTTTGCCGCCATCTTCCGCTCAATCTCCCTCTGCGACCAATCAATTGAGACTCTGGACTTAAAACAAGTCCAGTTTGATAATATGACATTTGGGTTGCAAAGCTCTGGTTTCAAAGTGCTTACCACTTTGACCTTGTCTGAGTGCTACTTGGATTTCTCTAGCTGGAACCAACCGCTCAACCCGTTTGCTCGTTTTCCCATGTTGAAGAATTTGGCACTAATATCTTGCAGTTGCTCTCTTGGTGACGATCCCGAAGATGAAGAGACAATGAGGTGTTTGAAAGTTGTTGGACTCCAGTTGCTTATCCTAGAAGTAGACGATGTATTTGGTTTCGATGAGATAAAAGTATTTGCACCAAATCTGAAACGGTATACTTACAAGAATCAGATTCGTGACTTTTCTCCAATGACAGAAGTCTTGGTCAATGTCCCTTCCTTAGAGCATGCCGATATCAAGTTGTTGGGATACAAGGGCTTGTATGATGAGTATAAGCAAGAGGCAAACCGACAATATGCAAACTTGTTCCTTGGTATGAGTAGAGCAATGTCGCTTGTCTTTCAATTCGATACCGCCAAGGTAAGTTTCCTATAACTAGTGTAATGCGAACATGTTCATATCATTATCATATGTCATATATGTTGCAAAACATTTTCCTAATTTGCCGATCTACCGAATGTTTGTGATTACATTTGTTATGAAAGTCGTGCTCATCTCAACTTGTTTTGTTACGTGAGTTGGGTTTATTCCACCAAGACATTTGTGAAAAAATGTTAATGTTGTTCGTGTTTTTATTTTTTCCTTGTGCTCCTGTTTTAGGAAGTCTTCGATGCTTGTGGCTTGTTAAGGGATCAACTCTCTCCTTTCAAAGATTGAAATCCCTTAGTCTCCGTCATTCAGAACAAAAAGTCGACATACCAAACTACGTGACGCGATTCTTTTTGGTGACTCCTCTCTCAAATATGAAAAGGTGTGAATGTAACCAAGGTAAGTCGATGGAACTACGCTCTTCTAGGCTGACTTGATATTGAACCTCAACTACATTATAGTTGTGTATATGGAATGCATATTTTTCATGATAATCTATGTAGAATGTAGCTCAATTTCATTTTTTTATGCAGGTGACTACATCATTTTGACTTTCAAGTGCTTGGAAGATTTCGCAAACTGCAAGTCATATCCTCTTGTGAAATTTCTCGGAAAGTAGAAGCTCAAGAGACTTCGGTTCCTGTCTGTATTGCTTATTGGAAAATTAGGGATAGGTCTTACTACTAGACCAAACTCATATAAGTATAACTAGACAACTGAGTGGTATCTTTATGTTTGCTCTTATTGTGGACCATAATGGAAATCGAATGAATATCCCTCTATTATCTCAACGTTTTATTTTTGGAATTATGTTATGTTTCTTAATTTTTTTTTTTTTGGAATCAACCATTTGAATTTGGCGTGAAGTAGATAGGTTGTCACGTGGGATGAATCAATCAATTTATGACTTGACGAGATTAGACTTAAAATTTTATGCTTGAATAATCAATAAATAAATTTGGCGCGAAAGTTGGAAAATATAGTTTGTAATTCGATCGATCAAACTACATGCATATAGTATTGCCCAGTAACGGTAACTGTAAGATTATTCCAATCATTAGGAAAATAATTCAAAATTACTATGAAAAATAATTTTGAATTATTTCCTACCATTAATCACTTTATATTTTTTACCAAAAAACATTAGGCCAATGACATTATTGGTTAAAATTCAGACTTTAGTTACGAAAAAAGAACATCAGTTACAAACATTTATTCTCAACTTATATCCAATATTATACATAGAATTAATACAATAAAACACTAAATATGTAAATTTTCGATTATAACATCAAATAATAATAGATCGTAAAATCAACAAAGGTAGAACTAATTTTATAATTCAAAATCTAAGCATATAATCCTACAAAGTAATAAGAAAATCACTATTTTAGCATCCAATTACTCTAACTTTTGTATATATAAAAAAAATTATATGGGTAGGGAGAGCAAAAAATCATACTAGCTCAATCCCCATCAATATTTTGCGTGTTCTATCCATATCCGCTCAATACCTAGTCAATGCAAGGATTCTCCACATTGACTGGGTCGAGTTGATCGAATACCCACGATCATGGATTTAGTTCCCCTCTGTATTGATGAAGGCTCCCTCTCGTTCCCTGGTACATAGTTTATATTGTAAAGCTTGAACCTTCCAGCAACATGATCAATAGTCTAATGTATATGATGTAACACACTTTATGGTAGTAATAGTACTGCAAACTGTGTTTCTACACCGTTCATTGTCATTGAACTGTGATGGATGTTTTGTGATCATCAGATAAATACAGTGACAATTTTGTGAATATCATTGAATGATTACGCCGGGCACAATTTTATAAATAAGATATTCATCAACAATCGAGGAAAACACCCTCCGTGAACTCCACGACTGTAAAATATTGTATCAACGTTCCTATATATATGATGTAAGTTAAGTAGCCTAGCCGAATTCCTATAAAGAAATCATCTTTTTTATATTTGCGGATGGGGAATGTGACACCCTAGAATGTAACAGGTTCTGGTTCTAGATGCATTTTTTTATGACAAGTTTTGTAACCTTGCTAAACAACCTCTGATAGAGAACATGCATGGCCTCTGTAATAAATGCCAAAGGATTTCTTTTTAATTATTCCAAGTGTCAACTGCATGCAATGCATGAACTTTTATTGTGTGGCTTTTACAGTTCCTTACCTCCACTTGTCAGCCCAACGGGTCAAACCCAAAAAGCAGAACAAAACAACAGGGAAACTACACGTAGTGCAAGGTCGTCGTGATTTAATTGTCTTGAGAAAACTGCAAGTGTAACTTTTAGTGACCACAATTTATAATTTACCCTAAAATTTTCAACCATTACAAAATGTCGATCCCCTCAAAGATAGTTCTGTTGGGCTTTTTTCGTGTATATATAACTAATTATCCATAAAAATGATATATGCATGTGAGTTACAATTATTGATAATTTAAATATGAGTATTAAATATACGACGAGAAGCTAAATATATACGTGGAAATTAGAAACCAATTTTACATATATGGGCAGCATATGAAATATAGACGTGAAAATTTGAAACCAATTACATATATGGCAGGATATTAACTAATTGATTATAAGACATGCAAGTCTTTTTTTAAGTAAAATTTAATTGAAGTTGATGCCGCAAACAATTATTAGGGTTCTGACAGTGAACTAACTAATTTACGCAATTTGGGACTTTATTTATAACACATGTGAGCATTTTTTTTACGTTATACATTTATTTTGAAGTCGGCTGCGAAAAGAATTTTAAGGTGGTAACATAATCAAATCGATTTGCAGAACTTGGATAGTTCTTTATGCCACGGGTAAGATCATCTTCTTGCGACGCCGAACCTCATGATTAAAGGTTGTGGCGTGGTCTGGCCACACTGAAATCAAATGTTAGTTGACATTATTGTGAGAGTTTGTTTAAATTTCGTACAACTTTGTTTTAAATTAGTGCGCGAAAGTTAATTTATGTTTGGGGTAAATAAAAATTTCAAGATGTGTTGCATGGAAAATGCAATCTAATAATACACAAAACATGTTACAAAAAATCTAAAACATATAAAAAGTACAAAGACACGTAAGAACGTTGATATAGCTACAAAAACTAATATTTTTTCTTCTCTCAAGTCTTAACCAAGTTTCAAGAAATCACTATGTCGTAAGGCGGGTGTTGGGTCTTGCCTAGTGTCTCACTCCGGCATCACCTAAGAATGTCTAAACTTTAGAAGGAAAACAACAATTTGAATTTTGAATGGAAAAAACACTTGTATCAGTTAAAAGTTTGGATGGCAATATCTAACTCGGGAGAATGAATATTATATAACAAAGTCGATTTGCTTAGTCAAATGGCTAAAGTATTAGAATAAGATTGGTTAAAGTCAAATGTCATTCAATATGATGGTCCATAATATCCATTACCAATTAATTACACAAATTGATAGTTTTGAAAATTTTGAAAAGTTCATTATATGTAATTAATTGTTTTCCAATTTTACAACATTCTCTCTCACCTAACCTCTTTCTCTACACCTAAGATTTTTCATCACTCATTTAACATTTCCTATCTTTCTCTCTCCTAATTATAATTGTCTCTCTCTACTCCTTGGAGTTTATAGTGATGGTGACCATATCTATCACCACCGTTGCCCGATATCTTCTCTCTCGCTCTGATTCTCTCTCTCTCTCTCTTCTTTGATATTCTGGTGGTGATGAATCACATATGTCATCACTGTCTCTCTAAACTTTATCTTTTCGCTAATTCTAGCTCTCTCTATCTTTCCCTTCTTCCTTTCCGCAACAAAGATGATGACAAATTTATAGTTGTCAACTCTCTTCTCCTTCTGCTATTAAAAATTTTATGTTTTAGATATTTCATAAATGGATGAGTCACCACTTTATATGAGATAAAACGGTCCTGAATACACACCTGTCCGCAACCCATCAATCTCACTTCACTCCTTTCATCTTCTCCATGTTTATGCTCCCCTACTTGCAAAAAAAATATGATGAAAAACTCCCACCGCCCGTTCATTTTCACCATATTCATAATTTCCATCATCGCCTGTGCATTTTAGTCTTTATTTCGCCTCTCAATCTCTCCATGAGCAACATATTTTCTTTTGAAGTTTGAGTTCGTTGATTGTTGTTTAAAAGTTGATTGCGACCAAGTTCACCACTGTCGTGAGAGAACAAAACACATATAGTTTCTTGATCTCTTTTTGTCTTCATAGCTATATGTTTCTGATGCCTTGCTTCTCTTAGCCATCCTTTGTTGAGGTAAGCAACTCTTTCTTCTTCCTAATGAGATTTCCAACTATCAAATATGCAATCTATCTTTTTGTTGGCCACTCAATATATCATCCCTAACTCGCTACTTTCTTTCTGTCGGTTATAGATATTTCAAAAAAATGGATGAGTCACCACTTTATATAAGACAAAACGTTTCTCAGTCCGCACCTGTCCACATCCAATCAATCTCACTTTATTGTGTTAACCTTTTCCATGTTTATGCTCTCCTGCTTGGAGTAACGATGAAAAACTTTCTCCCTTCCATTTTCTTTTCATTTCTCCACTATTCATAATTTACAACGTTGCCTTTGCATTTCTCTTGTCCCTCAGTCTCTCCAATGAGCAACTTCTTTTCTTTTTCTATGTGGGTTCGTCGATTGTCGTTTGAAATTTGACTGCTACCAAGTTCACCACTACAACAAGAGAACAACACACCAATCGTTTCTTGAAAGGGTCACTCTTGTTCTCTTGTCGTCTTCATCACTATACTTTTTTAGCCTTGTCTCTCTTTGTCATCCTTTGTAGAAGTAAGCATCTTTTTCTTCTTCATAGTAAGATTTCCAACTATCAAATATGCAATATGCCTCTTTGCCTGTGTAGTCACGATTTTGCTTATTTTCCCTTGCCGACGAAGTTCTTAATTGTTGACAGAAGTTCATATGTAGTTATCTTTTGGTTTGTTCATGACTAT